AAAAAAAAAAGGAAAGAAAGAAATTTAAAAAGAATCGTGAACAGGTGTGGTTTTGCTCTCCATAGAATCTCCTGTGCCTAATACAGTGCTTGTCATATGGAATTTCTTTAGTTTTGTTGGATAAATGAGTGCAATATGAAACCAAAAATGTTCTGATTTACTCTAGACTTCACTTCTTTTAGTCTGGAAAAAATATGTTAGTTATGCGGGAGATTGCAGAATGAAGTAATGTGCTTATTATATCTCTGAGATCAAAGTCGTTATCAGTTTCAGTGGACTACAGACTACTGTGAGGTTATGAGAACAGTTCAGAACCGTTCACTCTGAGAAGACACGATTTCCACTAAGTCTAAAAAAAAAAAACTGGGTGGCAGTTTTGTCCCTAATTTCCGTACAATAACCCAAGATGGCGTGGCCCATGATTGAAAAGTAGATTCAAGATGGCGGCTTCCGGCTTCCCCTGAAGCACCGCGCGTGCCCTCGAGGACACGCCCACTTCCGTCTACTTCAAATCAGCATGGCTCCTTTGGGGATTGTGCTCTCCAGTACGTGGGTATAGAGTCTGTGGGCTCGGGAGCTGGTGGGGGTTGGACCCGGGACCCAAGCCAGCTGTGCGGTCTCTACCCCAACTCTGCCCCACTTTCCCAGCAGGTGTCCGTAGGCTGCACTGCAGCGCAGCGGCTTGGGCAGGCGGCCAGTGGCGACTCCAGTGAGTGCTGGGATGAGGGGATGTGAGAGGCCAGAAACTGAGTCAGGTCATCATCGAACTGTTTTTCTTTATCAAGACAGGGCCTGGCTGCCAACCCCTCCGGCTATGGGCCCCTCACGGAGCTACCAGACTGGTCGTACGCAGGTGAGCGCGGATCTGACAGTTAACTCTACTTTAGATTTTCACCCAGAGGGAACGCCCCTGGGCTAGGCTGGGGAGAGGTGTCAAGGTCGGGACGTGTCTGAGTGAAAAAAAATATTGAAATTTTATGTGGAAAACGAGTTTGGGAAAGAAGCTCTCTTGTTTATTTTGTGAATTAAACTTCCGCTAGGAAGATAAATCTAGACAGGATCTTGGCTTGTGGAGATAAGCAGATTGGAATTCTAACTTGGAGGTGGGAGAGATTGGCAAGATTTACTTTTCTTAAAGGGGAACATGGTTTTTAAAAAGCCAGGAAGTACTAACTTTCTGTGTGGTGAGTTCCTTTTGAGAATTTGGTACCTAATGCAGGAAAGAGCTCTTTGAAAGGCTGCAGAAATGAGCATCTTAGTATGAAGATTGAGGATGGCAGGCTCCCTTTAGAAAAGTCTTTTTCCTTTACTGAGAAAGAATAGACATTATCCCTAGAAGAAAGGGACCTTAAAAATGTCGAGGCTACTACCCACTCTCCTTATAGGACTCCAATATACAGACAGGAAAATTGAGGCCTGTGGAAGTGAATTGTCTGTGGTCGTACAGCTAGTAAATAGCAAAGCCAGGACTAGAACTGAGCAGCAGCTTGTCCTCCTTCACAACACGGAGACCTGAGTAGTAACATCCTATTGGTATTTAATTTTTCTCTTTTTTTTTGAGACAGAATCCTACTTTCTTGCCCCCTGTAGAGTGTGGTGACATCATAGTTCACAGCAACCTCAAACTCTTGGGCTTGAGTGAACTTCTTGCACCTGCCACCATCCATATATGGGGCCGAAGCCCTACCCACTGAGCCACAGGCACTGCCCTTAAAAGCTTATTCTTTTTTTTTTTTTTTTTTTTGACTAAGTCTCAAGCTGTTACCCTGGTTAGAGTGCCATGATGTCACAGCTCACAGCAACCTC